TGCCCTCTCACAATTAGTGATGCTCCAGCAAACGCTGCTCTCTTCCTCCCGTCTCCACACAGCGCCTGCGGCTCCGCTCCCCTCGCTGTATCCATCAGCTCCCTGAATCCATCCCCTCCCTGAATCCATCCCCTCCTCTCCCTGAATCCCTCCCAGCCGCCCGCCAAGGCACCTTCTGCTGCATCAGCAGAGCCGTGCACGCCGCTCCCGCAGCGCCGGCTGCCAGCGCTGCCCTGCCCGCTCCGCCTGGATTTTTCCTGCCTCTCTTGCCAGCTCTGCAGCCACAACCCACCCCAACCCACAGGCACTGCTGGCATCCTCTCAGGCTCCCCTGGGATGCCCCCGTGCCCTGCAAAGCCTCCTGGTTTCCCTCCTCTCTGCTGTTTCGTGCTGCTGGCCGGGAGAGCTGCAAAGGGGGCTGCATGGGGATGGGGACCTTAACGCGCCCTGAAGGTGACAGGCTGTGGCACCTTAGACGTGCAGGCAGCATCCCTGCAGGTGAGCTGCTCTCACACCCCAAAACCGATCAATCCAGTTCGGGGAAGCCATGCCTGGTCCCTGGGGTGAGGCTTTGTCAGGACGTGTGCCCTGTGTCACTGCAGCCCAGAGGGAAAGTCAGCGCCGTTCGTGCTCCAGGAGTGCGGCAGCACCTCCTCCCCTTCCCGCCACGGCTGTTTGGGGATGTGTCACCTCCCGCAAGCGCTGCTCTCTGCGCAGGGCTCGCTGTCTAATGGACCTGGGCACGGAGGTGAAGCTCTGCCTGCCCACACCACGCCCCGGGGGCTTCCATTAGCAGAGCCCCCACCGCCGCCTTTGGGATGCGGTGTGCCGAGGGCAGGCCTAATGGATGCGACGGCCAGGGAAAGGTTGCAGAGACAAGAACTTTCGGCAATTATCCCGGAACAAGATCATGGTGAGAAAAATAAGTTCTCAGAGTGTTCTCTTTGGCGCCGGGCGGGTCCCTCTGTAGCCATCGGGGCCTGGCTTTGCATCCCGCCTGTGTCTGCTGTCTGCCTCGGGGTTGGAGGGCAGGGACACCTGGTGTCACACTGCTGAGGTGCCCCGAATGGGAGCTGAGCCCCAGCCTTGTCCTATTTTGTCCTGGGAAGCCACCAGCCTTAGTGGCAGTTTGGCCTCTTCCCAAAGTGGCCCAAGGCAGCACCAGCCCACTGCTTCCAGGCCACCACAGAACCACTGAGGTTGGAAAAAACCTCTAAGATCAAGTTCTGCACTGCCAAGGCCATCACTAAACCATGTCCCCAAGTGCCACAGTCATATGTTTTTTTTAACTTTTCCAGGGTTGGTGACTCCACCACTGCCGTGAGCAGCCTGTGCCAGGGCTGGACAACCCTTTCCGTGAAGAGATCTTCCCTAATATCTAACCTAAACCTCTCCTGGCACAGCTTGAGGCCATTTCCTTTTGTCCTATCGTTTGTTACCTGGGAGAAAAGCCCGACCCCCACCTGACTCCACCCTCCTGTCAAGGAATTGACGAGAGCGACAAGGTCCCCTCGAGCCTCCTTTTCTCCAGTTTAAACCCACAGCTCCCTCAGCTTTTCCTCATCCAATTGGTTCTCCAGCCCCTCCTCTGGACACACTCCAGCACCTCAATGTCCTTCTTTGGAGAAGCCCAAAACTGCACCCAGGATTCGGGATGCGGCTTCATCAGTGCCGAGCACAGGGGAACCATCACTGCCCTGGTCCACGGAGCGCTCCCCGATGCCCGGGCGGGCGGATGAGCGGGGCGGGAGCGCGGGGGGATGCGGAGGAGCGCGGGGGGATGCGGAGGAGCGCGGAGGAGCGCGGAGGAGGGCTCAGCGCAGCCCCGCCCGGCGCGGCCCCGCCCGGCGCCGCTCGCCCTCCGCGGGGGCGGCCAGAGCCGGGCGCTGCGGGCAGCAGGGACCGCTCCGCTCCGCACCTGCTGGCCCCGCGCTGCAGCCATGGCCCCGGGCTCGCCCGCCGCTCGCCACCGCGCCTCGCCGCGCCTGCTGGCCGCGCTCCTGGGTAAGGGGCGCGGGGGGCTGCGGGGACCCCTCCGGGTACCGCCCGCGTCCTGTGTCCCCCCCACCCCGGCTCCCCGGCGGGGACCCTGCCCCGGGGACTCGCGGCAGCCCGAGGCGGGGGTCCCCGCTCCGCTCCCAGCCCCCGCACCCCGCCCGCCGCGCCCGGGGATGCCGCCCGCGGGCGCTAACGCCGCTCTCCGCTCTGCAGACGGACGGTCCGGGGATAAGTCACTTGGCCAAGGTGACTTCGCAGCCGAGCCCCAGCTCCGAAGTCCCGGCTCCAGCCCCTGCCCTGCCCGCACCGGCGCTCCCGTCGCCAGCGCTTCTCTCTCCTGCGAGCACTGCGGCTGCACCCCGCTTTGCCCCGCTCCTGCTCTGCCCGGCGAGCGGGGACCGCGCTGCCTGCCTGCCCGGGACCGGGGGATGGCCGCGGGGAGGCCATGCACTGCTTCAGCGCCAGCACGCCCGCCGACAGGTCATTGTCTTACAGTTCGTTCGGTACAACGACCATTCGCATGTGCTTGTTGTCCCTGGCGCGGGGACCGACCCGCGCTGCAGGGCCGCTGCTTGGAGCATGATGCCCAGCCCTGTGTCCAGGGATGCCCGAGATCCCCGGCCACAGGCTGCAGGGAGGGGCTGGCAGCCGTTCCCTCCCCACTGCACACCTGGGGCAGGCTCCAGCACCTGCATCAGCCTCACGCACCCGCTGCACTCCTGCTCCCGTGGGGCACCCTCGTGTCAGCCTGGAACCGAGGGCTGGCTGTGCAGCGTTTGCTGCTGGGGCACTCCCGTGGGAGGCGTTTTAGAGGGCAATGTGCTTAAGTTAAAGGATGCTGGAGACACAAAAAAGCATGTAAGTACCTGACTCCCTGCAAGATTTGGGTACCAGCACCTGAGCTGGCAGTGGGGTGATAGGAGAGACTCGGACATGCTTGAGACCACTCGGGGGTCTGGGGTCCAGGGCGTGGAGGTGGGAATCTGGTCCCACAAATCGCTCAGGTGGGCTGGGAGCTGGAGAGGGCGGTGGGCAGGGGAGTGCAGGGCGGGTCTCTCCGTGTCTGTAGGTTTCGGGGATGCAGGGAGTGGCAGCGTGCCCCTGGCTGTGCCTCGGAGGCACGCACAGCCCCTTCCTCAGGAGAGGTGAGCGCCGTGTGTCCTGTCCCAGAGCTCATCACCTGGCTCCGGGCTGGCCAAGGAGCTCCTGCCTTTGAACCCCGCTGGAGAGGAGCCCGGCCAGCCTGCCAGGCATGGCTTGCTGCCTGCGCCAGGATGTCACGCTGAATTTATGGGCAGTGAAAGTTTTTCTAAAGCAGCTTTCCCATATGTGGCAGTCCGGGGTGAGCAGCACAGTGCTCGGCGAGCCCCTACACTGTGGGGGGCTCTCCCTGTGCAAGAGCAAAGAGCAGGCAGCCAAGGCTCTGGCAGCAGCGGGAGCGGCTGCTCCCGGCCTCCCTGGGCTGTCTCTTGGGGAACGCTGAGCCTGCAGGTATGGGAGGGAGCCTGCAGGTATCTGGTGGTGCGAAGTGCAGCCGCTTTGGGAGGGTATGGGGAAGCAGAGCTGAGAGCTGATTGTGGCAGGGGCAGTCAGCGCTCCCCCAGCGTGTTTTCCTCGATGCTTTATTTAGTGGTAAGGTATCCGTTTTGTCTTTCTGAGAGCACAGGATGACAGGAGCAAGGTCAGCCTCGATTTACCCCACGCATTCAATTCCGATTACATTCTGAGGGTGGCAGACAGGTTTTGAAGTGTTACAAGCTGCAAGGAATCATCTTTCCTGTGAGTGTGTCCGCTTGCAGCACGCTGCAGGCTCAGGCGTACCTGCAGAGCCAGGCATACCCCTGCCAACTCCTGCTCCAGGGGGATGGCTCCTGTCCCCTGGGACACTCCTGCCTGTGAAGTCCCCTCTGTAGCATCCCCAGGGCTGCTCTAGGAGCCTGACAGCTGCAGGAGATTCCATCTGCCGGGAACCACTCCCTGAGGTTAGCTCCGGCCTCTCGAGCAAAATGAGGAGTGCTTCTGTGTAAAGTTAAATAACTCCTCGCCTGCAGTGCTTGCAATGCAGCACTGCAGCAGGGCCCGGAGCCCAGGATGCAGGGCTCTCGGGCTTGGCTCCGGCTGCGACGTGCCTGGGGAGTTGTTAGCACCGGCTTGTGTGGGAGAATAAATCAGCAGCTGAGGCGGCTGCAGAGAGAGGAGAATCCCAGGCTGAGGGCAGCGTGTCCGAGTTAAGGTGTTGGGGAGCTGGGGATCGGCTTATGGCCGTGGGAAAAGCTTTGTCCCCCGGATTTTGTGCCCAGGGAATGCTCTGCAGGGGTGGGGAAGGGAAGGACAGTGCTTTGCTGGGCCGTGTCACATCTCAGCCATGCCACATCACACAAACGGGACGGGGCCGTGGTGGGATGGGGATGAGGAGCGAGGCTGCTCCTCTGGCCAGGACCAGAGCATCCCTGTGCTCCCACAAAGGATCTGTGGGGACAGTGGTGGCCCAACCCAGCGCAATGCCAGTCCCTGCACCCCAGGAGCGTTCAGCTGCAGCTGGGCTCCTACCTGCTCCTCTCTCCCTGCTCGAGGGGAGGTGAGGAGCAGGAGAGCTGCATCCTGCAGTTTGAAGGTCACCTGGCAGCTCCACAGGGGCTCTCACTGCTGGGTGTGAGGGGGCTGCTCCGGAGGGCCAGGCAGGGCTGGGGAGGGCGAGCGGGTGGCAGGCGGCCAGGACAGCCACGCTAATTACTGCTCCAGCTCCCGCCTGAAGAACAGAGCTCTGCTTCGCCTTGGCTTTTTTTCTCCCCCTTTAAGGTCTAGCTGGAGGCCTGTGGATAACATGCAAATCAGGGCTCTCATTTGCACGCTTTATTCGTGGGGATATTCTGGTTCCCTTTGAACCCGCGCTGTCTCTGTGGGCGAGCCAGCCCGAGTTCCTGCAGGAGCACGTCCCCTCTGTCACCGAGCCGTCCTAGGGCTGGGGACAGGCGCCTTTGCTCCTGCCAGGGCAGCCTGGTATGCCAAAAGGGACGAGGGGTGACAAAGCCATGGCCTCACTCTCTCCTCCTCTCTCCCTGCCAGGTTTGCACATCTTCGCCATCGCCTTCGCCTTGGAGGTGTCAGTGGGGAAAACCAACACGGTGACGGCTCTGAATAACTCCAATGTCCTGCTGCCCTGCGTCTTCACCACCTGCATAGGCTTCCAGGACCTGGTCTTCACATGGTATTTCAACTCGACAGAGCTGGTGGGTGGCTCTCTGGGCTCTGCTTCTGCTTTCCTGGCAGGTCCTGTTGTGCTTCCCCGGTGCAGCTTGGCTCTGTGGTTCTCGCAGTTCCCTTTCTCCTCGTACAGGATGCCCTTCTCTCCAAGTGTCACCAGCTCTGGGAGGGACAAGGCTGTGCCAATGGGGTGACTCAAATACCCCAGAACATCGTGCTTTTGGCACAAAGCTGTTCTAGATTTGCTTCTGCCCACAGGCTCGTTAGTTTTCATAAATTGGCTGGTTCAGGTGCAAATCTGCACTTAGGGCAAAATATGGTTCATTTCCTCCTCCTTCACTTGCTCTGCAATATGAAAGGTTCTGTAATAGATTTGCTTCCTGCTGGGAATATTTGGCTCCTCAATTCCTCAGTGAGAGGGTTGTTTTGGAGCAGTTCTGGCCAGCAAAGGAGCTCAGTTTCTCTGGGGATCTCCCATTTCTGGCATGATCTGTTCCATCACTTCAGGGCAGGTCGGATCTGCTGCTTTCCCAGCAGGATGTGCATCAGGTTCCTCTCCATTAAAGCCATTCCTGCTTTAATGGTGTGTAATGGGTGTAATGGGGGTGTCTGAGTCTGGGCACCATCAGGAGAATGTGAGCCTTTCCCTCACCCAGCTGCTCTTTGCCCCCTGCCTCTGCAGATTTACCACGGCAAGATCAAGAGCAAAGCCACGGAGCCCATCCGCATCTGGAGCAACCCGCGGGTGGAGTTTGTGGGCTCCACCACCAAGAAGGAGAACAACATCTCCATCGTGCTGAACAGCGTGGAGTTCAGCGATGCCGGCAAGTACACCTGCCACGTCAAGAACCCCAAGGAGAAGAACGCCCAGCACAACGCCACCATCTTCCTCACCGTGGTCCATAAGAGTGAGTGCTGGCCGGAGCTCCGGGGGGGCACTGGGCTGGTGGAAATGTCAGCACACGGGGACAGACTCCTTGTGGTCACTGTGCTGCAAAGAGAAAGAAAGGACAGCAACACACACGGAGCTCTTTGGGGGAAGAAGGCCAATTTATTGTACGGACAACCCGGATTTAAAGTGTGTCAGTGCAGCCAGGACAGGACAGGAGCTCATTGGACAATTGGGAAAAACATCCTTGGGACAGCACCTCAGGATGTGTCCCACGGGAAAGACACCAGGTGTTAATCTTTATTATGAATTCCACTCTGTTTGTTACCATGTTATCACCCTGGGAGACTCCTCCCTAACTGAAGCTGCAGTCAGCTTGTCAGCCTGGGAATGGAGCTGAGAGTCAGGAGAAATCCAGGCCTGGAAAGAATTTCCAAGCTGTAGTTGCCTAGCTCTCTGAATGTGTGTGTCCACAGCTCCTGGGTGGTGCATGGTGGTGGTTGACACCCCTGGAAGCCTCGGGTGGAGGAGGTTATGGGTTTTTGGGGTGGGATGTACCCAAACCCCCTCAGCACCTTCTCTCCCGCAGTGGTGAAGACGGACAACACTGTGACGCTCATCATCGTGGGCGTGGTGGGGGGGCTCATCGGCCTCCTCATCCTCTTCATGCTCATCAAGAGGGTGGTCCTGTTCATCATCAAGAAGACGCAGGACGGGAAGTGAGTGCGGGGGTGCCGCCGGGGGGTCGGGGGCGCGGGGCCGGGCTCAGGGGGTCTGTCAGCTGCCCGTGCGCTCTCCCTGTGCAGGAAGGAGTGTCTGGTGAGCTCGTCAGGGAACGACAACACCGAGAACGGCCTGGCCGGCTCCAAGGCGGAACAAAAAGCACCACCAAAGGCATGAACGAAGCAGCGGCGCCCCGCGCCCACCCCGCCTCGCCGCGGGAGCCCGGGCACGGGACGAGCCTTCCCCTTTTGTTTTCTTTCCGAACTGCCAGCGCTTGAGACATGTTTCTATTACACACGTGCCTGCAACCTGCACTGCTTCTCGGACAAGGCTGCGGCTGCCGGGGGGACTGGGAGCTTCTCGCGGACTCGGACTGGGAGGCTGCTGGGGCAGGGGGAGCCGCCGGCTCCGCTCTGAGCACAGGCGAGAGGGTGCCGGGCAGGCAGGGCAGGGCCGGTGGGTGGGTGGGTGCCTGGGGCAGGGTGCTGGGCACCGGGGGTCCCGGAGTGCCCGGAGGGTGGGGTGGCACGCTGGGTGCTGAGCTGAGGTGGCTGGGAGCTGCCTGCGGCATCCCGAAGGTTTCTGGAGCAGGGCGAGGATGCTCAGAACTGGCCGTGCAGGTGGGGTGGCGCAGGAGGAAGCAGGGCTGTGATAAGCACACTGGAGAACCAAATCAGTGACGGGCCCCTGGCTGTGCCTCGGTGCCTCCCGCAGCAGGACTGGGGGGGGCTGGCAGTGTCCCAGGGCCACTGCTGGCCCGTGATGGGGTGAGGTGCCACATTTCAGCCTGGCTTTGTCCCCGCGCCATCCCTGGGAGCCATCCCGGGAGCGCTCCCTGGCTTTGTGCTGCCCCCTCCCCTCTCTCTGGGGCTCAGCGATGCTTTTGATGCTGATGCCAAGGCTGAACTCGTTCTGTAGATGATTTTGTATGAGGTTCCAGGGGAAAGCGGCCAATTGCCTTTCCCTTGGCCATGGCCGCGGGGAGGGAGCACAGCCGAGCCCTGGCGAGGGGAGCCGGGCCGGGGCTGTGCCACCGGCCCGCTGGGCAACCCTGGGCAAGTTGCTCTGCCTCTCCATGCCTCAGTTTCCCCATCTGTAAAATGGGGACAATAATACTGCTCTACCTCACGGGGTGGGTGTGAGGTTTCCTTGGCTTTGAAGTGCTCGGGGGTGAGGGGTGCTGCAAAAAGCCAGGGGGTCTTTGTGAGTGGACTCGCAAGGATGTGAGACACGAAGTCAGGGAGCTATAACTGAGGTTGATAATCTCCTTTAAAATGTGATTTGTTCCCTATTTCTCCAATTAGAAGGTGTTTGACAGTGAAGCTGCAGGACAGGCAGCTCCCCTGTCGCCACAGTAAATTGGGATTCACATCTGAGCCATGACTTGCTGTGGGGGCTTGTGCCCTGGCAGAGGGGCTGGAGTGGGGAGGTAGGCGAGGATTTGGTGGCCAAGGTGAACAAGGAAAGGCCGGGTGCTACTTTCTCTGGAGATGCTGGTGCACAGTGGGCTGGTCACCCCAGGCTGGGCTCGGGGGCACCCATTGGAGCAGGGCTGTGTGCTCGGGACAGGGCACAGGGACTGGCACCTGGCCCCAGGCAGGTTCCCTTGGCTGTTGATAAGCAGACAAGTGGGAGTCAGGATCCTGATCTCCTCTCTGAGGGTCTGTGGGACCCTCAAGACAATCACTTGACCTCTCTGTGCTTCAGTGTCCCCGTCTGTAAGCTGGGCACAGTGAGTCTGAGCCGCCTCTCCGGAGGTGCGAGGTGCCCTGCACGGCTCTGCCTCAGCCCCGGGGTGGAAGGCGCTCTGGTGCCAGGCGTTGTGACACTGCCACCGCCACCTGTGAGAGCCCAGGAGGAGGCCTGAGACCTCCCAGTCACCCCGAGAGACCCCCGGCCCGTCCTTGGGGGAGCCCTCCCGCGGGGGAGGACAGCGAGGCGAGGAAGGGAGTTTTTTAAAGAACTATTTTTAGCTGTCCTAACCTGTTGGCCTTTTTTAGCCGGCGCGTGGACGCAGCTCCACTTGCTGCCGGATATGCAATGCTGCACTATGCATGGATTACTCCTCTGGCTTGATGGGAAAAGTCCACACAAGCAGTTTTTAGGAATGTAACTCCGTGTGCACACAGCTGCCCCGGGGGAGCGGGGCTTGTGCCAGCACTGGCGGCGTCCCTGCTGTCACCTCGGGGGATTTGGGGGGGGCTGCAGAGGCTTTCTGGGGCTTTTTGGGGAGGGGGTGTGTGCTGCCACAGACACGTGTGTGTCCAAGCAAATGTGAGGCTGCGTGGGAGGAACCTGCGTGTAAGCACAGGGCTGTGTGATGACTTACAGCACATCTTTGCACTGTAGAGGTTTAGTTAGCTTTGCCTTGAATGAAATAAAGTTTACGTTTACTAGAGAAACTCGCCGTGGTTTGGGGTTGCTGTGGGTCGGAGGGGGAGACTGGGGGGGACTGGGTAAAAATAACCCCACGAGGAAGCAGGACAAAGGCTCGGGAGGCTGTGTGAAAAAACAAATCCTTTCCTTTAATGGGGATACTCTAGACAACAAACATAATTTCTCTCTGTATAACAGGAGTGAGCCGACAGCCGCTTGGCCCCCCAGGAGCCATCCTGCCACAGCGGGGTCAGCACAGGGTAATAAATTAATCTTTGTCCGGAAGGGAGCTTGAGCCGGTGAGATTCCTTCACGGGATCGGTGGCCATCACTCCGAGTCACCCTTTGCCTCCTTGGCTGGGCTCTGGTGCCCTAAATCACAGCTGCCAGAGAGGGTTTGGGAGCCTCTGCTCACCTTCCACGGCTGGAGATCCGTGTCACTGTTGCTGCCAGAGCAAGGGCAGAGGGATGGGAAGGGAGGCTCGGGGCGAGGAGCGACCTGTTCCGGCAGGTCTCAGAGCTCCGACTGCCGGGAGAGAGAGGCACAGAAGGAATTGAAATCTTTGAAAGGGCGGCCAAAAGCAAGAGGAAAGCAGCTGTGTCCTGAAGGAGGCAGCTCAGGAGAAGGGAGCTGCCTGTCCCCCCGGGGCAGGACGGCACTGACCCTGCGCACGGCGGAGATCCAGTCCAGGTAGGCGCGGACGCTGGTGTAGACGCCGGGTGTGCTGGGGGTGCCGCAGCCCTGGCCCCAGCTGACGATGCCCACGACCTGCCAGTGCCCACCCGAGTACAGCAGGGGCCCGCCGCTGTCCCCCTGCCAAGGACAGACCCTCAGGATGGCCCCGCTCAGTGACAGCGCTCGCAGCAGCCCTTCCCAGAACAGCTCTTCACTCAAAGGAGCCGTGTCACGGGTGGGTACAGACCCCCCCAGTCCCCTGTGCAGCCCAGGCCCCCACCTGGCAGGTGTCCACGCCGCCCTGGGGCAGGCCAGCACACAGCATCCTGTCGGTGACATCGCCGTGGTAGGCGGCCAGGTTGCAGCTCTGCTTGTCGATGAGCTCCACCTCGGCCTGCTGCAGGCGCTCTGACAGCTTCCCTGGGTGACACACGGCCTCTCAGAGGGGCCCTGCTCCTGCCAGCAGTGCTGGGGGAGGCTCTGCCTTGTCCCTGTCACCCCCACGCTGTGCCACTCACCGTGCTCCTCCGTGTAGCCCCAGCCGATCACCCACAGGGGTGTGCCCGGCACCAGCTCCTCGTCAAAATAGGGCAGGCAGATGGGCTTGGTGCTGTCTGGAAAGGAGATGTGACTGGGGGGGTTCACAGGGAAGGGGCCCAGAGCGGCTGGGGACAGCCACCAGCTGGGCACCCACTCCCTGCTCCAACACTCTGTGCCCACGAAACGCTGCCACGCCGGGCACCACCATCCCAATGCTCAGTGCCACCAGGGCACACCTGTGACTCCTGCCCCGAGCAGGGCTCTGCCAGCCTCACCTGAGTCGTGCACGGGGGAGCGCAGCTTCACCAGGGCGATGTCATTTTCCTTGGGGGTCGCAGGTGTCACCTCTGCCAGGAACACCTTCTCCACAGCCAAGGTGGCAGCGCCCGACAGGAGGTCGGAGCCGGCTTTGACACGCCAGCTCTGGATGATGGGATTGTTCCTGTGCCCAGACAGCGCTGTCACCGCTTGTCCCCCCGCGGGGACAGGCACAGAGCCCTGTGCAAACTGTTAATTACAGGAATTTAACCAGCACACACAGCCAGCGGGGAGGTGCCCACTCACTTGAAGCAGTGCGCGGCCGTCAGCACCCAGCCGGGCCCGATGATGCTGCCCCCGCAGATGTGCTCCTTCCTGTACTGCAAACTGACCTGCCAGGGCCATGCCTCGATGGCAGCCGGGCTGCCCCCCAGCACCCGCGGGGTCCTCACGCTCTGCCCGCAGTCTGGGAGGGGACACGAGGGACACAGCAAACCGAGGCTCCCCGGGACAGGAGCGTGGCCAGGGTGCCTCATCCCCACAGCGCTGCTGTCACCCCTCATCCCCAGCCTTGCTGGAGGGGGTTCAGCCATCCCTTGCCTGCTCCAGCCCCCCAGGATGATTAGTTTAATCAGGGTAATTCGCCAGGAAAAGTAAACCCATGCAGGCAGCAGGGTAAAGCCTCCCTTAGGTGTTTCATTTCTGGGAGGTTTGTGCTGGCTTAATGAGGTTAGCAGTAATTAAATCCATCTTTCCTCATGCCTGGAATGGGCTTGGGATGGAGCCACACTCCCACAGGGATGTGCCAGGAGCGAGTGCTTTGAGCAGGACGAGGCCCCAGTGCCCACAAGGTCCAGCCACCATGATGGTACTTACTGGAACAGAAGAGTGACACAACCAACCCCGAGAGGCATTTCCTGCGACAGGGAGGAAAAGAACAGGATTTGGCTGCTCTGCCAGGCACCACAGGCAGCTCGGGGTGCACACAGCCCCCACTCACCTGCCTGGATCAAGCACCTGGAGGCTCCCATTGCTCAGCACGACCTCGTGGGGAGGCAGCGGCTGCCCCTCGCTCACCTCCACCCCCTGGAAAGCTGGGGTGCTGGAAGACACGGGGGGATAGGGCTTCAGGTGTGGGGGAGGACAGGTATTGGTGCCTCAGCACCTTGGGAGCTTGGATCCCATAGGAAAAAGGGGCTTCTGTGGGACAGGGATGCCAAAGTGGGGATGTGACAGCCCTTGAGGGCTGGGACACTGAGCCCAGGAGCAGCTGAAGGAGGGGAGAGTGTTCCCTGCTATGCAGAGGAGTGGGCAGGTGGCTCTGGGA